AAGTTGTTTGTTGCTGTTTCACCCGTAAAAAGGTTCACAATGAGAACTAAACTGGTGTCACTGCTTGCGAGGTCGCTGAATTGTGTCCAAACTTGATTCAGCTGCGAGCGTAGATAGCACAAAAGCAACAAGAAAAAAAAACGGTGGTGCGTCGTCTTGTTGGGAAATCAAAAACTTGCAAAATATGGTGACGAGTCTGACATACTGTGGCCCACGCCACAGCTGACTACCTAGGAACTCGGGTATTCAACTCAAAATCTAGGGCTTAGTGTATCAAAGTAGTGGTAGTTGCTTCAAAATACTGGAAGTAGAAATGACCAAAGTGAACATAATGTCAGTAGGTCTTGTGAAGAGATTGACATGGAGGCATCATTTATTTCGTTGACAAGTACGTAAAAGAGCCTCGTAACTAGCGCGAGTATCACTGAACATGACCTCCATAACCAAAATCGCAAATGCAATGACTACAAGTACACCGGTGGGTCCGACATCACATATGGAAACAGAATGTGCAGTGTTATTTTTTGATGTGACAACAGCAAATGATCTGGCCCGCTGGTCGTCGACAAATGGCTTTTTAAGGGCAATAGGTAACGCAGCGAAAAGAGAAAAAATACTGATCTAGCACATTCTGACGAGAGAGTGGCTATGTGTGTTAGGTGAAAGACAGTAGAAAAAGCGACCTATATGACTTATTGAAGAGGAGCCAAATGAGTGTCAGTTGTGCAAGCAAGACACTTTGGACATGAATGACAGCTATTTCAGACCTGGGCGGCCGCTGTGAACAGGGTCTGCGGCCATTTGCTTGGCCACGAAGACGGAAAGTAGTCTGAGGCAGCAATCAGTCTGACAAGCGCCTGGCAAAAGTGGTGAGGTTGCGAAATTTTTACATATTGATTCACATAACCGTTTGAAAAATGTAACATGAATCACAGTATGAATACTCTTTAGGCAAAATTCCAATATCGCCATTCACACGGACGACATATTACAGAAGTAACCCTATGCTGACAACATCCGTACTCCAGACACATTTCTAGAAACATCGGCAGTTAGTCTTAAATTGAATTACGAAGACACGGGCCGCTATAATCAGATCACTCTATTGGGCCACCGAGAAAAGTCCTGGATACACCCAGCGACGCCGCAATTATGGGATCAGTTGAATGACCCTGCAGGTGTCTGCTGAGACAGCTCAAACCAGGTGCTGTATT